GCTTCCGACGCACGACGCGAGTCAACGCGAACGAACCGGGACGAGCCGGGCCGAGCAGACGCGTTTTGCGCGGACTAATCGCGAATTTTCGACTCGTAAATTTTCCTGATGATTTTTCCCGGGGCGACGCGAGCCGCCGCGGTACGGCCTACTAAAATGTGGTTCGAGTCTCTGCTAAGTTGGGTTCGAGTCTTTGCTAAATGGAGTTTGAGTCTCCGCTACATTCATATATTTTACCAGAGAGGATCCCTCTCTGATTTTACTCAGAGGAGCAGGCTCAAACGCCTCAAACCCCACTTAGCGGAGACTCAAACCTCACTTAGCGAAGATACAAAACTCACTTACAGAGAGGGATCCTCTCTGCTTGTGCGCATGCGCCGAGATAGGAACGCCACCAGTCTAGACGATATTAAAGTTTCTAGTTCTAGGATCGCTGCGTATCGTGCGCATGTGCCGTCAGCTGATCAGTAGCCATTTGTGATTGTCAGTCTTTATGATTATCAACATGGCGTAATCTTTTATTATATTAGCAATATTGCGTTTATTCGTTGCTATTTCCGTCGAAAGTAGTAGCAGATTATAATTATGCAGATTATCATTAAACTCTCATCTATAAACATCAACAGCCAAGTAAGTATTGATCCAATTTTGCACATCTGTTTTCGTTGTACATTAATAAATGTATCCTAAGTGTTTGCGAAATTGCAGATTAGTCAAACGGTAACGAAACTCTAAAAACCGAACTGCTGCTACTAATTTTTCGTATTATACAACTGTACAAACAATAGCACGTATACCCAATATGCAAGGGTAATATGGATAACAAAGCATCATTTGGCATGTCATTTTGTGCAATCGTATATTATTAATTAACATAAAGAGAATTTAAGCTTGTTATTGGATTTACACAAAATTTGTACGAGGATGGACACTTCGAGGCAGCAGGACAGATCTCTCGGTAGTGGAATTTCATTGCCGCAATGGATGAAGGGGAGAATGGATAACAGGTAGGTTCTACATTCCATAACTTTTATCACTTGACATATTTTTATGGAGATATTCCTATAACAATTGGTACATAGTTGCGGACGATTAATATAATGTAATATTGGATGTCTGTTTGAAGTTGTCATTGCATTATGTGCATGTACATACTTGGCACCTCGCCAAATTAGCTCATGTATTATTTATAGTTAAACGTTTGTATATATTCTGTTGGATAAATTGTTTCTTCTAAAACTGTATACGTATCATTATTGTCTTATACAAAATATGAGATCCAAATTTATTTAGTTGAATTAGCTGAATAAAGTATTTATGTCAGTCACAATATGAATTTATTTTGTACAGACGTAATTTCACATATAATTATATATATATTTTTTTAGATTTGATTTTGACGAAGCCGCATTCAGTCCACCATCTTATGACGATAGTTTCTTTTATGCAAGATATCCAAGATCGCAAAATACTCAACCGCAACACGGATTGAAGCACATCGTAACTGAGGTTTTAAATGAAAACATTGCGAGCTCCACAAATCAGATAACAAATGAAAAATCCATTTCTGACTTGAAGGAAGTCAAGCAGATTGATTTCAGCAAACATCCGTTACCATGTCAACCATTTATACCGGTCGCAAATAACATAGGTATATTTATAAAAAATATGTTCTTTCAAAATGTAATATCGATTAACACATTCTTCTCTAATCTGAAAATCTGACTAACTCATTCTTGTTATTGCTTTAGCTGGTGAGGTCAAGATACACAGAGCTTCGGCGATCGGAAATGTGAAACCCAAGTCACAGGGGACGGATGACGGTTTTCATGGTGAACCGGCTCTTTGCGGCAAATCGATCGTTCATGTAGCTAGTCAAATGATGTCTGGTAAATTCACCAAGGTATTCACGCCGGATTCGCGTTCTCAGCAGATGGAGAGTTCAATGAAGAGCGTCAGCAAGTCGTTGCCAGCGACACCGCTGACATCACCGACAGGCACTCCAGACAGTTCCCCGAAGGCACGCAGGAAGATTCACAATCGATACTTCACGGGTGCGTTTGTACCGGATAGAGAAAAGTATCAGGGTAATTGGATTTTGGGCAGCATATTGGGTCAATCCAGAGAGGTTATTACAGCAAAGATAGACGAGGAGGACGAGTTGTTTCCGGATATGGAGCCATGCAAGCCGCTCAATCGCAAAAAGTCGATATCTTCGCAAAATCTTACGTATATCGGGAAAGAAGAAAAATCGGCGGATAAGACGTCCGTTTACGTAAATGTACTCGAAGCTAAACCGTCTGAATTAAGAGAGATGAATTTTTGGTCTCCGACTTCCATGTGAAGTTTTACACTTCGTTTAATTTTAACTTGCATAGTTATTAATGATGCTTCTACCAAAGCATATTTAGATGAATTTAGTTTGATTCCTGGTTATTAATGCACATAGCTGTAAATTTAGCTCATCATACTACTAATTTGACAACATTTCGTACGAGATTGATGCATAATCGTATATTTTAATTGGATTCTTTTACAATTTTATAATCTTTAAAAAGACGAGCCAGCAGTATTTGACTATTCAAAACACGACAGAATTGCGTTGTAACTATATTTAAAATATGTTATTGCTTTTTTTTTTATCAGTTATTTTTTTCCATTATTAAAAAATGAGTTATATATATGTTTAAAAAAAAAATTTACTCTATATTATATTTGTATTATATAAGTATTTACGTAGTTGTGTTATCCGTGCCTTCACTGTCAAGAATGCTTTGAGAGTTGAAGATGCGATACGGTCTGTTAATTAACTATCTTACCTATTTACAAATAATCGCTATCTTATATTGTAATTACTTATTCTCCGTGCGCGTTGCAAACTGTGGCATAATTGAGACATATTGAAAGTATTAAATCTTACGAGGTCAAGAGCATTTGAACATCCAATGCCGTGTATTGTAAAATGTGATAAAATGAATGTAGCAAATGTATGCTATGAGAAATCTAAATTATACACAACCATTATAAATTCTACTATTGAAAATTTGCACGAGGAGTAAAAGATAAATTTTTATCAAGCACACAGATGAGTTATATACAAATATAAACAACCTATGTGAACAGTCTTATGCCAATAAAATTATGAAATAACATTTTATACATATGTCCTCATTGTTTTAATAAATGCATGAAGTGGTAATTAAACCTTTATTGGACAATTTAAAGCTTGGTTTATACAGGCTGTTTTGCTGAAATTCTATAAAGTTCCAAACATTGATTTCAATACTTTTGTTCATAAAGTTGTTACGAACTAAATTATGTTAAATTTAGTTGTCCAATGATTTAATTGTCTCCAATTCATACGTCTACATAAACTAGGCTTTAAACCCAGCTTAAAGGTTTGAATTTAACAGATTCAATTTTAGTGATCAATAATTTAAATCAACTAAATCTGAATGATCAGATACGTATATTTATAGATTAAAACAAAATTATTAACGTTCAGATATTTTCAAGCAAATGATGAGGGATTATATAATTGGAAACACTAGTTTTATTATTAAATTAAATCCTAATGATAAGTATTTATATAGACTAAAACAAAATTATTAATGTTCAGATGTTTTCAATCAAATAATGTGGTTATATAATTGGAAGCACCCTAGTTTTTTAGTTTTTTTTTTTAGTTTTTTCTTCAAAAAGAACATGAATGGTCGAAGCAGGTCAGATTAGGTTAATGTCACATACCCAGTCACGATTCTCGCGTTGTGTAGTCATTTGCCGCCCAAAATCACGCTGATATCGAGAAGTTATTTAATTTCTTCCTTCTTTCGTACGATCTCTGTGAGATGCTTCACGATCCCACGGATGAGACGCACAGAAAACCACGACAATTCAGAAATACGCCGCTGCAGAAATATGTTCGGTTCGCGTCGCTATTCATAACCCTTTGGTACGCGGGAGCAATGTTCATTTCCTACAAAAGAAAGTAGGTATCCTTTTACATATACTCGTGTAAATATTCTCCAAACATGAAGTCTACGATTTGCATTATTTATTTATATTCAATTTCAATAAATCTCGGTAAGATTAAGGTTAAGGTACTTAGCGACTGCAAAACATGTATCTATATCTAAACAGGTGCACAAAAGCTTATTTTTAAATGCTTTTTTTTCATAATA